GCTCAGGGTGGGAAACTCCAAATGCTTCTAACTTGTCACACTGTTGTGTTGCAGGTTGCAAGAAGTTTACATGTAGGATAACTGAGAAATTCTTTCACTGCTTCTCCATTAGTCAGCAACTGAAAAGTCAATTAATGGTGAAAATACAGAGGGAAACCTGTTAAAATTTCAAGTTAAACAACATAATGCCCTTTCCCTATGCTCAAACAACAGTGAGCGATAGCATTCAGCCACATTGTGCTTATGCTACTGTTAGCTATAGGAGAAGCTGAACGCTAATAATAACATAAGGTAGTATTAAAAAATACAGTAGGAACGGCATTAATTCCAAGATTATATAATGTTAGGTAGGAAGAGGTTGAATGTTAACATTGAGTGCTGTTGTTTGAGTGGAGCTCATGAACTATTAAATAGGCTTTGTTGTGTTGTCTTGCCATAGAGCTGGTTTATTACTTTATACTTTCTTTTCATTGCCTCTTTATGTGAGAAGGGATGAAATTAAATGGAAAACAGAGGTACAATGTAATGTCGCATTTGAGCTTTTCATTTAGAGCATGATGTCAGAAGAAAATGGCCGCCATATGCATACAGTGATTGGCCAACAATTGCCATGAACTCCCTGCGTAAAACGAAAAAGGCCTTTTGAATCAACCTACTTGTGTGCATGGCTCAATGGTGAGCTACAAACTGTAACTCTATTGGACATCAGTCATTGACAGCAGGTTATGGCGATTAAGAGCTCTTTTATCAGATCTCCGGCTACAACAAAGGTCCAAAACAGGATTAGGCAGAGATGTGGAGCGCTAGCAGTGCTAATGCTATGGCCCTTTGAGAATCTCCTGGCAGTGAGAGTAGCCGCGATGCTGCAGGGCAGGATTACTCAACAAAGAGATGGAGGGATATGGAATGAGGTGTGGGAGCCCCTCTCTGCCTCTTTTATCTTGACATCCAACACCTCTTAAATGCTGCCCATGACATCAATTTCTGCTTGTTGGAGCAGCATCCCTCACTAGATTTTCCAGCGTGGTGTTTGTCCCTGGATGAGTTAGTGCTGAGGGGGGACAACAGAAGTGGTTGGCTTCAGTGGTGAGAGGAGGGAGCGGGACATTCATTCATCAAAAGGACGTGCAGTGCAATCCAGACAGTAAGTGTAAGGTAGATAAATGGCGAATAACCTGCAGGAATGAGATGATTCATCACTTCCTAAAATTAAGTTCATTAAAGGATTGCTGTGGACATACATCAGTGTCTCCTTCTTCAGGTGTTTGCTACAGAGGACTTAAGCGTTTTCTCCAAGATGTTCCCTCATATGGATAAAAAGGATTATGCTATATTTGTTTGATATGTTCCCCCTACAGTGACATGAAAGTATTGAAGGTAACATTTTAAGCTTATAGTACCTTTCTTAAGTTTCAGTTATATGCTGTGTTGTACTTACACTGCATTTCATTTGATGAGGAAATGTATTTCTTATTTTTCTAAGTTCATCTGACAGCTGAAGTGAATTTTCAGATTTCAACTATAGAAATGGATCAAATAGATTCACTGCTTTCCATTTCACGTCTCACTATTGGAAACACTCTTCTTCTGTGACTAAAGGAGAAGTGATGTGAATACTTTTACAATACTTTTAAGTATTGAGCGGTAGCTCCTAAACTTTTTCTTATTGAGACCCCCCTTACTAAAGAGGAAGTCAGTTTTCAGATGGCTATGAATCTTCCAACTTTTTGTTGTATTCTTGATCCCTCCGATGGTTTAATTTAAAAGTGAAACAGAGTGATTTCAAGTATGTGTATCAAAATAGTCTTTTCTCTTTCCCCTCCCATTATTCATCTCATTAATCCGCAGATTTATCTTCTGACTGTCTAAAGAGGGGCATGGCACCTATTGCTGGGATTAGGCTACATAAGTTCAAAAATTCTTCTGAATCCAAAACAGGGTTGCATCAAGTGTTTACAACACCAACTTAATGATAAATCACATACTTCAGGATAGGATTTTGTTGGTGCTAGAAACGGTCAATTTTAATATGATAACAGCTAATATTAGTCTCACAGAGGCAGGAGGAGTGTTTACACCTTACATGGATCCCTCTCCTTGCAGCTGTCTTCGTCATTGGCTCTTGCGGTCAGGCTGTCAAAGCACTAAGCAATTATTTTAAGGCCTACATCTAATATGTTTAATATCACCTGTGCAGCTCCAAGGATTCTACAAGACGTTCAGGACTCAGTCTGGAGTCTTAACGTCTCACTTTACCGGAAAATCTGATGAGCGATACAAGGTCCAACCGAGGCTAATTGTTTTTTGACCAGAAATCTTCCTTTATTCCACGGATTGTTCTTTCTTTTCGTACCCTTGAGCTGAGATTACTAATATACACCTAAATTGCGGTTTGTGTTTGTTATTCTAGGACAAGACAATGTAGCCAGGAGCCATTACCCTGAAGTAGATGCGCAGAGTAGCTCTTCTTTTAAACTCTATACTTCATTAGATTTTTTTTTTTACTTGGACTTTTATACCTAAACCTCTGTTGACTCGTGGACCACTTATATAGCTATTTCTAAATGGAGAACCTAAATTGTATTAGAGCGTTTGTTGAGGGTAACAAGCAAGAAATTCTTACTTTGGAGAAGATTAAGAATGGAATATTTGCTTGTAATGACATTAAGGGTTTATTTTCCTTCACATTTGATGTTCTGTCGATGGTTTTTCCTTCTTAAACTAGATGACATATGTGTTGTATTTTGTGTTGTGTATCAGTATGAAACCAGAAGCATTCCTTATAAACAAACAGTCCGTTCCAAGAACTCGATTACTATCCTTCATGCCTGGTTAGTGAGGCGGAGCCGCAGCTCACACAATTCGAGTGGATCCTGGGAACAAACGAGCGCACACACAGTAACCTTGCCAACCAAAGTGGAAACTCCCCCACACGTCCATTCATGTGAGGATGTACGGCCCTCGCTGCTTCCTCACAATACTGTTTATACTACAGAGCTGTGAGGCCCGGCCAGAGACGAGCTATCACCAGGCAACAGGAAGAAGGGAATCCACCGCAAAGACTCTTTAACTGCTGCTACAGTGAGCTGAACGGACCAATGACAGATAACAGTCGAGATATAATTGACATCGACATTAAAAAACACCGCAGAGGGTCATATTCAAATTTCTTCTCTTCATGGTCCTTTAGGCACTCAGAGCAGCATGAATGCAACAGTTAGGAAACAAGAATTTAATTAAGAAAAAATATCCCCTTATCGCGTTTCGAGGGGTTGATCCTTGTTTCACGATTACTTTACAACTCTTACTCTGACCAGGCGGCTGTGGCTCAGTTGGTAGAGTCATTGCCTTTCAACCAAAAGATCAATGGTTTGATTCCCAGCTGAGCCACATGCAGGAGACACTTAACATTGCTCCTGCTGCTTTGGTGGCAGTGTATGAATGGATTAGTGTTGTACTTACTCTCTGATGTATGTTGCTTTGGATAAAAGTGTCTGCTAAGTGAATTGTAACATGTTGTGCTAGAGTAGCAAAGAAAAGCTACAAAAGCAGCACCATTTTAATACAGAATGCATACCTCTACAAAGGCTGTAAATCAATGCATTCCTACAGCCAGAGCAGATGTTCGGCCAACTCTTCCAACACTTGAGGGTACTCTATTCAAAAAAGAAACTGTAAAAGACTGGAAGCTTTCTATATCAACTTGTTCCAGATAAGCCTGTTTGTCCCAAATACATATCACTACTGCAGCTACAGCAAACCATTCTTATTATAAAGGCTGATGAAATGTTAACAAATGCCTCACAGTATTATCCAAGCTGTATCTTCATGTTGCTATCCCTCTGATTAATAGTCACACACTTGTAGTGACTTCAGTCGCCGTAGTGATGAGTCATTTCAGACCTGGTCAGACGTTCAAATGAAATGAAAACCTCTTTATTGAGGTTCCCAATGAAGAGGTTCTCACTTTGTTGGGACTTGTAAAGTACGTTGAGATGTGATGTTACATTTCGGGCGACTTTGATAAATGTGATGACAAACAAGACTAAAAATATGAACTCCTGGGCAAATGAATGATCATTTATAACTATCTGGCTGGATTCTTTCTTGGCAAGCCAGAAGTCGTTTAGACAACAATCTGGCACGGTGCTTTGTTGACAACAAAACCCACATGGTCTTTAGTAGCTGATGAGCAGGTGCAACATTACTTAGAATAGGTTGGATTTCAAGACATGTAACTAGGGATACATACAGTAGGTTCAACATCGGTATTGCAGCAGCCCATATGTATATGTTGGGTTGTATCAATTAAAGGCTGGCATCTAGTACACCTAACTACTGATTCAGACAAGAGGGTTTTTTTTTAAAAAATTGGGCAGAAGATGTCACCTGTTGGAAAAACTCTGATCTGTTTATAGTTTTAAACATCAGAGAAAATGTCAGTACTGTGGGAGTCATACACCAAGGAAGTCATGAAACAAACACCGGTATCAGAATCCTCAATCAGCTACGTTGATTTTTGAAACATCAGTTATCTGCCCTGATTTTCAGGATCTGATCATCTCTATTTCCATGTAGTAAGCCTGTAAAGTTCAATGGCTATGGGCGCATTACATTTAAAGGGCATAGGACACCCACACGTTCTTGGAGCAGATGCATTTCAGAGAGTTTTGCTTAAAAATGTGGTAATTTTCAAATTTGAGCCCCAGATTATGTTGAATAGATCCTTTTTCACAACGTAAATTCATTTATAATCATAAACCTAAACTTAGGAACACAAAGTCAGTTTAAAATTGTGCTTTTTTTCAAAAATGATTTTGACATTGTGCCCTGCATGAGGTACATACACCTTGGACAAGTATATCTCCCCCGAAAGGGAGAACCTGTTCAATGTGACGAATGATTCAACCTGTTCATCTGTTTTTACTGAATCTGAGGTCTTTACTCTATCAGGTGTGCAGTGATAAATCCGGCCTGTAGAGAGATAACTGTCGAGAGTGTTCCCTCATGGTTCTTATTAACCAAATAATTTGCTTTATTGAACATATAAGATGCCTTCACACAGGTAACAAAAACAGACAACTGATATGCTTGAAATCAAAAAAGAAAAAACCCACATTTTATTGCACTTAAGTTATAAGAAAATAAAATTCTAAGTGAATCAAACAAATACACAATCCCTTTAAGGTTTTTTCTGTCTGTTTTCTTTTTTGCCAGGCAGTTTACATGAACTGAAAAAATAAAACACCTGCAACAAATCTGATTTCTCAAACCAGATCATAAATTAAAACGGAGAAAACAACGAGAGGAGATAGAGCGAGATTGTTTTCTTTTTTTTCTTTTTTAATATACAGTGTTATACCACTTTCACAGTTCAGCTTGAGTTGTGACTCATGGAGATTGAGACGACTTTTCGTTTGGCTACAATGTTTCTGTTCACGTTTTGTTGCCTTTTTGTGTATTTTCCCCCACTGACGATCCACGAGGCCGCTGATTTTTATCTGCAACATGTAACACTAAGACTCCTGCAGCCTGTCAAGTGATGCTTGTGATGGTCTCCTCTGTTGCTTCAGACATCTTTGAATGTAACAACAATCACACAGGAATACGGACAGTTCTGTCATTCCAATCTGATACATCTGCTAGTTTTTTTTTTTCTTTGCCAGTCCACACAGCGTTTGTACATTTACCCAAAGGACAAGCTGAGAGAGCTTTGTCCCAAGGAATGTGTTTACAAGTTAACACGCTAACACACTCACGCACGCACACACACGCACACCAACAGTGTACATCCCCTTGTTTCCTCTATGCAGGCAATCCCATCAGAACCTGTTGGATGCTCCCTCCTCTCAGCCTCGTAGAGGCACGTTTGGCTCAAGTTTCAGTGGCAAAAAAACAAACAAAATAAAAACAAAAATGTTGGATGTTATCTTTTGTCATCTTTTGTTTCTTAAGTCCAAACATACAAAGTTCAATTTGGAATTTTGCCTGGGACTAAAACGTCACAGCAAGTAAAAGTTCCCTCTCTCTTTTTTTTTTCCATTCATCTAGCAGCATAAATACAGTTTGGCCACCGGGGGAAACAGAAAAGGGTACGGGGCTCAGGGAGGGGGCTTTGGGGGCATTAATCCACAGCGCTTAGAGTAAACAACTTTTACTCCCTCCTCTCATCACAGCACTGGCATTGAGGAAACCACCCCAAGGAAAGTGAAAAATGTGGACAGCATTGGTGTTTTTGTGGAGACCAAACCAACCCAGGTTTGTTGAAAAACAGAGAGGAAGAACAAACAACTCAAATAAACAGATGGAAAAAAAAAAAAAACCTTGTGACATAATGACAGCAAACCTAAACAGAGCAGCTTTCTAATACTGGGATTTGTTGCTGTTGGCAACCGCGAGGACAGAAAAAAAAAACAAGAGGAACCCCCTTTCATGTGATAAACCAAGAACGGATTGAAATTCACAGTTGTGTTTGTGTGCGATACTGTAAAGAAATCAAACTAATGAAACCGAGCGGAGAACAACAAGAACGGAAATGGAGTGACGAGAAACAAGCCTGATGACAGGCTGAACCCTCCAGTCTACAACAAGCAGCTTTTCACCTGTAACTGTGTTTGAGTTTTACCACCTTCCTCGACTTGACTATGATTTGAATGTGTGGGCGCGCATTGTTGGGAGAGGGAAGGGTTATGTGTGGAGGAGGGGGGCACTTTAAAAAATAATATATCTCTGTACATCTCAAAATCTGTCAGGCTTGAGCAAAACCAAGTCTCTGTTCGAAGCTGACCCTGAACCGAAAGGGCAGAGGGTCACTTCAAAGAGTTCAGTCTTCTTTTCTTTCCTCCCTCTTCTGCTTTCTCCCAGCCAATTCAGGGACAGATCAGACATCCCCTCCCCTTTTCTGCTTAGTTTGAAGCCCAATTCCCTCCGACTGCTCCTAGTTGTGGAGGGTCAAAAGCAGGGACTGACCCCGTGTGATGGTCTGCGGCTCGGTCGGTAACATTTGCCCAAAAGGGACACAAAGGGGGGGGGGGAGATGATGGTCGTGGACAGGACAGTTGTTGTAGATTAAGCGAGTTTGGGTGAAGAGTGTTGGGATTTCCAGGTGCCTCATCTCCCATTCCCCATCTCTTCTTTCCAATCAGCGCTTGGCTTTCTTCGTCCTTCCCCATCGCATACCATCCTCACTTCATGTCCACGTCAAAGTCCAGCACCAGCAGCTTGGTCTCCTCCGTGCCATTACGGCTGCCCACTGCACACACCAGCTTGGTGTTGGAGGCTCTGATACGCCACACCACACCGCCGCTGCCGCCACTCTCCAGAGTCACCAAGTTTCGGATGAACTCGCCCGTCTTCAGGTCCCACAGTTTGACTGTGCCATCATCCGAGCTGGTGATGACAAAGTTCTTGTTGAACTGGAGGCACGTGACGGCGCTCTGGTGTTTGTGGGGACCTGTAGACAGAGTGAAACAAAAAGTTAGAGAGATGAAATAAGAGAAAGGTTTGGTCTTTGTTACCACATAAATGACTTTCCAGGAATGCAGAGACGTTTATAGGAACCTTTCTAGATTAATTACAAGTCTCCACCTCAAAGGAAGAAGAGAACAGATAGACTTAGGGACTGTGACAGGAACAGTTTCTTCCTCAAAAGAAAAGTTGAGCAAACTGTGGACTTTGGATAGGAACTGCTTTCTGTTTATTTGCGATTAAATCACTGAAGTTATGTAGTAGATGGAAAAGTGTAACGCTGAGACCCAGCAGCATCCATGTGTGCTGCAGCTTTGCTCCTTCTGAGGCTTCAGTCAACTTTAGCGACTGAAACGTAGCGCAGCCATGAGCAGCTGGATTTGCAAGTTCACAAGATCACAGGAAAAAAATACAAGATCACACAGTTCTAAAAAGAACACACAAACAACAAGTAACTTTGCCTGTTAAGTCCCTGTGTCTGACTTCGTCCCTGGGTCAGTTTGTTTTCGATCTAGCTTGAAGCGTGCTGGAAGCGGCAACGTTTAAAATACACTGCATCTATTTCTAAGAGAGCAGAGAGTAGAATTGCGCCACTGGTGCACACCTAAGATGGGCCATGGTACATACTTTGGATCAAAGAGTTGTGGCAAAAGTACCAAAATACAGGAAAAAGTACCTCAGTAATCCTGTGAGACAAGAAGAAAATTCCTCTGTCTTTATTCCTGGAGCTGCTGTGAGTGTCTTAACTCCTGCAGGCCGGCTTTAGGACAAGCTGCATAGAGATGCCAAGACTCTGTTCACTGTCACAGACACTACGCAGCTCCAGCTACACCTTCGTCTGCATGCATGCAGCTGGCAGGAGGCCACAGTTAAAGTGAAGATGGCGGCTTCACTGCCTGCACTGAGGTGACTTTATTTGTGACTGTATGTGTGCAGTGACTTAAGACTCCCCCAAGAGCTCGAAAATTATGTCTTAATGAAATCAATTAGGAGAACACAGTGCTGGAAAATGAGGGTTTTATTTTGAGTTTGTATAATCGCTATTTCATTCACATGTATTGAATTTATTTCTGCTTCCACGATCATTGAGCTTGAACATCTTTTCAATTTCTCTCTCCAGTTTGATCAAAGGCTGTTATTTACCCGAGTACACTACAATGCTGCTCTGCACCAACCCCCACATGCCAGCCTCTCCCCTCCTCTTCCTCCCCTCTCTACATTTCCACAACAAAGCAGGCTGCTCCATCATTACCTATGCTCTCTTTGGCTGACAGTGAAGACCTTGTTGTCCGCCTATTGTCTTATCAAAACACACAAGTGAATGGCAGAAAATGTCCGCTGACCTAATTATATGACCTACAAAGTGCTACAGCCCCTTTTCCCCTCCACTGTAGGGACGCAAGAACACACGTCCTCCCCCCACGGCCGGTCTTGTCCCTCCCCTCTCTCTTCAGACTCACACTGGGGCATCCCTTTGTTCAGCGAGTGTGTGTTGGTGTTTGCAGGAGCAGCATACAGGGTTGTAGTTTGCTAATGAGGGTCTTTAGGGGTGGAGCACTGCTGGTTGCTGCTGCTATTCAGCAGAGGATTTCAAACTTCCTGTGAGGTGCCAATGGAGTTTGAAAGTGTTTAAACAGACACAAAGGAAATGAGGCGGTAATCAGGACCAGCAGGAGTACAAGGTGTTGGCTTTGCACTGCATCACACACACACACACACACACACACACACACACACACACACTCATTAGACTAGGTTCAATTGGAGCGTCAGGTTCCAGCTATGACTCTATGCTAAGTTCTTATTTCCTTTTTATTAATTATTATTTGAAGCTGGTTTTGTATATTCTTTATATATTTAGGGTAAAATGTTCATATTTTTAAAGGTGATGTAGATCTTATCAGCAGCCTGTTGCACAAACTCATAACTGTGTACAGTTGTACCATCTTTACTTAAAGAGAAACCACCAGCTAGTGACAGAATTTAAGAGACCATCACCAACAGGATTGCATTCATATCCGTTTTCACATATACACTCCTGAAAATGTCTAGAGAATTTAATTTCTCCTGAAGGGGGGGGGGGGGGGGGGGCTCCTGAGGCAAGAAGTAACGTAAAACAAATGACAGAGAAGTGGCGGACGAAGCAACAGACACTACAAATGAGAATATTTGCCTTTATATCAATGCTATGTGTACTCTGACAGACTCACAATATCAACAGAAGAACGTACTGGCAGGCTGATGATCTTTTACCAATCAAAGTGGGTGTTTCTTCTTTATGGGAGTATATTTCTCTCAAAGTGTCCATGAGGTAAGTGGTTCACAAGAAAGGGACGCATAACAACACTCTGATATTCAAGGACAGATTACGCTGTTTTCATTAAACGTTACTAAGAAGAGCAGTTATACTTTTCCTACAATTAAACTTTTAATATAAAGATTGATTTGGTAAAAGCTATGTTTCTTTTCTATTTTTTTAAACACTTTCAATTTTATATCTCTTCCTTTAAGCCTTTACAACATTTATCCATTACCAGAAACTAGCTTTATTGCAGAATTTCGCTATTTTACCAAAACATTGTTCAAGCTTTAAAGTGCAACAGGTGACTTATTCTAGAGCTTTGTTTTTAGGAAATCCCTCTTTTCCAGACTTTTGTTCATTATAGATCCCCCTAAAAACTTCTGCTAATATCACAAGTTTCCCCAGGGATTAAGAATCATTGATCTTTGATATCAAATGTTAAACAGCTCTTATGCAATTCAATGTGTTGGTGGATACCTCATAAGCATGCATGCATATTCCATTTCAAATGAACGCAGCATACAGCACAATGTACGCTCTTTTGCTTTCTAAATATCTCAGCATCACATCTCAGCATTTATTTCAGATTCATCATAACTTCTGATATAATGAGCTCCTGATGCACGATGTCATCCTCAAACAAACCTCTCTTCTAATATCACCTATACCTTTTTTTTTTTTTTTAAACCTTTCCAGCAAGACAACAGTTCAGGACAACTTAAATCTCCAGGTCAGACGTTGACTCACCTTGCAATGTTTGCAGGCACTGGCCCGTCTTTATGTCCCAGATCTTGACCGTGGAGTCTGCGTTGCCTGAGACCAGGATGTTGTCTTTGAGCTCCATGCCACTGGTGAGGGACTGATGCCCCGTTAGCGTGTGAATGCAGTTGCCCGTCTCCACGTCCCAGACTCTTATAGACGTGTCCAATGAGCCGCTAACCACGTGGATCCCATCAAACTGGAGACAGAGAGAATTCAAGTTCAGACTTGACACTGAATTTTAATGACAAACTGGCTGACAATCACCTTAACTTGCAATTGATGCCTAAAAGCATACTCTGTTTCGATTAGAAAACTTAAGATTACACTAATTAAAATGAATGAATTTTATCGATCTGTGAAGCTGTTCTTTCTGTTCCAATTGTAGAGCAACAACACTTAAAAATCCACATGATGCAGGGTGCTACAAAAAAACAATCTATCAGTGTAGTAAACAGCCACTTCTCTGAGGGCGATGGTACCAGCTGAAAATTCACTGTAATCACACAGAGTGGGTGAAAGGACATCTTAGAGGACACAGACGAGTGCACACAAACACACTCAAAAACACACACGAGGCATTGGAACAGTCATAAAGGGTATGACAACACAAGTGTCATCAGATCATATCGCTTTTTTTTATGGCGTTTTAGATATGGTTCACTGTCCTAGAATCAAGGACAGTCGAGAGAGGAGAGCGTCATCGACCCAGTTACACCAGCTGTTCAGACATTTCAATTTGGTCTAGTTATTAAGGTGGAGAGAATTACTTCCAGGTTTAAGGTTTAGCAGCTGAAAAAACCAACTTTATCCTACAAATACGATAAGACTGAAGTGTAAAAGCAACAATTTGGAACATGAGGAACACTTGTTCTCATTGCTTTTAAGATGAATTGTACTGGGAACTGAACTGGGAATATTTTTAAAACAACTTTTACACAAGTTTACTCGAATTTAAAATAAATCCTGCTAACATTTTTAGACTAAATGACCATCAAAGCTGCAGTTGGATACTGACCACTTCATTTTGATTGTATAAATGCTACAAGATACAGAAAAAAAACATGTCTTTTAACTTTGCATCTGAAGTTCAATCTCTAAAAGTCTAAAACTGGTATTTTTTTAGAAGTTTGTGATGCTGTGATGACTTTTTCTCTGTGGTTGATGTTTTTATTGATTAGTCCAAAAGTTATTACCTCGAGAAAGACATTTAATAATTGAACAGAATATGATTTCAAAAAAAGAGCTCCCTCAGGAGGACATAACATACAAACAGATTGAAATGTAAATAGAAACTTTAACATGTAGCTTGTGCAGCTTGGTCTTAATCTATGTCTTAAAGCAGATTGTACCTGTCCATCTAGCTGTAGTGGAGCTTGTGTGTTTGAAGCCGCTCACCTGTAATGAGTACACTCTGTTGGTGTGGCCCTGCAGCGTGTGGAGGCAGGTCTCCGTCTCAGGGTCCCAAACTTTGACCATGAAGTCGTAGGCACCGCTGACCACCCGCCGCCCGTCGTACTGGACGCAGCGCACTGCTGCCACGTGGCCCATGAGGACGTGTAAACACTGACCGGTCTCAATGTCCCAGACGCGCAGTGTGGCGTCACGAGATCCACTGACCACCCTGAGGGAAAAAAACCCCCACAAAGATAGCAAGTCAGCGTTTTATTGTCTCAAACAATATAAAGTGTTCTAAAGAAGTCTTTTGTATTGAGCTTCAGTTTGTGAAGAAAGAACAACTTCCATTCTGAAGATTATATTCCATAGTCTACACAACACCTTCATTTACACATTCATACCTTGGCAGCTACACTGACATGTATGAACATTTTCATATTCCTCGAACAACGAGTAACTCACAGCTCCACATTCATGTTCATACTTGTGCATTAAAAACACTCATTGAACTGAACTGTCTGCCCTGCAGCAGTGTCTTCACCCCCAGTGTGGAGAGGAAAGATTTATTACAGGTTATAGAAAAGGAAAGTCCCTTTAGGTAAGATTGTTACGCAAGTTTGGCAATTCTCAGATTATTACTTTAGAACAATTTGTACTAAGAGGAAAAACGTACACTGCTGTAGAAAATCAGCAATTGACATTTCTTTATTAGTTTCAACCCTATTCTCAAGACTTCAATAAAAGCTGAGACACACCACCAGATTATAAAATGATCAGTTAGCTTGAAGTACTCACACAGTGCGTACTCTGTATTTAGAAAATACCCCACAGCGCTACATAGATGAAAATCACCAACATGTTCACTCTCCGCCTGCAGCTCACAGCATCTCCACTGAGTGAGTAATCAAATGTTTTACAAAAACCTTGGTGGGCCCTGAGGCGAAAAGGGCACTCTGAGTCTCCGGAGTGTAACAGTGAGTGAATGAGTGAGCAGCGGTTCATTTCAAGACAGCTCTCAGCGTATGTTTAATCACTATGAGAGCACATGCTCACTCTCAGACAGATACTGTTCTCTGAGAGTGTAGCAGAGATGCTCTTTTGGCTCGGTGACATCACTGTTCACTCGGGCGTTATGATTCTGATCATAACAGGACATGTGGGACTTTAAAGGGACAATTCAGTCTGTTTGGACAAATGCTTCTTTATATGGGGATTTACAAGAGAATGTCCACACATAGAATTTGGACCCGTTACATGTTGAGTTTATGAGATGTTGGTTGGCAGATTTGATTATCTAGTCAGAGCCAGGTTAGATTGTAACCATTATTTCTGTTCTTTATGCTAAGCTAACAGCTGCTGGCATGTCTTCATATGAAACAAGAAAGTAGAGGGGTATAAATCTTTTCATCTTAATATCAGCAAGAAAGCTAATTACACATCACAAATTACCTTCAGGTTTAAACGGTGGAACTTAGAATTTGTAAAACTTTTAGTTACATTTACTTCAGAAACTAACTAAACAACTAAAATTATTTTAATTATTTGTTTTGGAAACCAAAAGGCAAAGAGAAGTATCCTCAATCACTTCAAAAGCTAGGCAATAAAATGATTTATATCTCAATCCACTTGTCCATTAAAGACTAATTCTTTCAACTGACATTCATTCGCTGATTGTGCATGATATCATAATCATAACAGTGCCAAAATATGCCACAATAGTGTTTTGTTGTTCAGGCTCAGTAAGGTTTAACAATAAGATCGCTCCGTACCTTTTCTCATGTAGGTGCATGCAGCGCACTGTTGAGGTATGCCCATAGAGGGTGTGGATACATTCTCCTGTCTCTGCGTTCCAGACCTTGAGTGTGCGATCAGTGGAGCCGCTGATAATAATGTTGTCTCTCATCTGCGATGACCACACGCCCCCTGTGTGGCCCACCAATGTGCGCAAACACTGAAAAATACAAAAAAAACAAGAGAAGAAGAACCTTGGTCAGTTTAATCCTCACCGCTGTTGAAACTCTGGTTGTTAGAAATGACATTCAAAGATGAAGACATTCAGGATGATGAGTTATAGGTCTCTTAGAATCACATTTGCAACTTTCTACCATACCAACTCCATTTTGCCTTTAGGGGGATGGAGGACGAGGAAAATGAAATTCCTGCGACCTTTAAGAGGAAACTTGAGCTCAGTCATTCTTTACCGGCTGCTGTAGTGGGACAGAATCTCTCTGAGCTTCTATAATTGCTTTTACTTATCTGTCAGGAAAGCAAGAAATTCATTCCTCCTGCAGAGGGTTGACAACTGTCTTTAGTACAAAAGTGCACCCATTCATCCTCATTAGGGACGGTAGATTAGCTATTGATTACAGTAGTTATGTAAATCTTTCTGATCAATTCAATTTGTGTTTCCAGTTTGTCTCATTTGTCCCTCGATTTAATTATCCTAAATGTATTAAATTAAATCATTTTGGGGGGAGGGTGGGTAAAGAAGAAGAAGGGGTCTGTGGTGATGTCGGGTTCAGAGTGGAGCGTGTTGCTGGATTGTACAACATGTGACCCCGCTGTCTGAAGCTGATAAGCTGTGATTGCCGTGCAGGGCGAGAGAGGTTTTTATTGCAGCAGAGTGAAAGAGGAGGATGATGCTGCAGCTTGTCTCTATTTAAATTAGTGGTGAAAAGAGCTTATTTTCTGTTTAATTGAAATACGACAGTTTGCTGTAATCAAACTCTAAATGATGCAAGATTTTTCTGTTGAATCAAAGCTGTGTTTGAGGATCCAAGAACCAGAATGATGGAGGGTGATTAGAGCCTACTCAAACACTGTGTGGGAGGACAGAATACCTGAATTGAAGGGCTTAGGCATCTTTATCTGTCAGCAAAACAAACATTAAATGAGTCTGTCTCTGAGAATGAAAGATTTGCCTTCTTTTAATGAACCTGTGGAGGACCTTTTTTTTCCCTTTTTTAAACATTAGGGTTTACACAAAAATATTTAAATCTGTATTATGAGTTTTTCTATCCGTTTAAACAAACAGTGGGGAAGTATCCACAACAGCAGCCTCTGAGCTTCAGACCAAGGAAAACTGATTTTATACCCCTATTCTATTTTTAGCCTCCTACTTGGCCTTGGCAGGAAGTATCAGAAAATAAAGGTCTGCAAGGCAAAGCTGTCGGCGGCAAACATGTTACAAAGGTTAAAGTATACCAGCAGAGTTCAAGCATCACATTATAGTAGACTCACACTGCCTGATCAAAGATCACCCAGGCCATAACTGAGCCTACACAAAGCTTGCTTAAAGAGTCTCACATCTTTTTGCAAATGTCCTGCATTGTCTCTCTTTATATCATATCAAACTGAATGTCTTTGGGTTTTCCAAAGACAAATGTGACATTTGAACACATCCGCTTGGACTTTGAGATACTGGGAAGGACATTCCTTCAATTTTCATTATTTTAGACCAACTCTTTAATCGTTCAAGAGATTAGTAGACAGACAAATTCATATTAAGTATTCGTTTTGGCCCTAGCTTCAACATTTAAGTTGTAATTTCTGCTTTTCTAATTACTGAACTAAATTGGTGTTAAGGTCAGGTCTCAACTCTCTGTTTGTTTTAAAGGGGGAGCAGGTGATCCGGGAATCAATGCAGGTGAAGCATCTGTTGGAGGACACCTCTCCCTGGATACGACGGCAGTCCACAGGTCTGCCATCTTAGATCAGCCTGACAGCTGAGACTGCTGCTGACAGAAGCACCAAGGACACACGGCTCTGTTAAGCACCAGGCAGCCACCTTTGAAGCTCTGAGATGTGTGCGGCTGGATGTGGGTAGGGGTAGGGGTAGGGGTAGGTGTGTGTGTGTGTGTGAGATTGACAGCTTTCACTACAGCTGGAGGACAGGCAAAGACAAGGTTATCAAGTGAAGACAGAGCCTTCTAGTAACATCTAAGCAGGAAAACAAGCTGTTTGAAATTCTCCTCACAGCTTGACTTCTTTTCATTGTGTATTTTAGATCAATGAGACATTTTTATTTATGTGCTTAAAATGCCCACTGAGTTGAAAGAATTAATGATTCACAAAGAAAATTTGAGCAGAAAAAAAAAAAAAGTCTTTCCTTAAACTATTGATGGAAGCATCTGCTAAAATCGTGTCAACATCATGACTGATGCACTATTCAGAGACGTGTTGGGAATACTGTGGGAGAAGAATACACAAGAACATTTTTGAGACGCTTATGTTACACCGTTTGACTCGCTCCCCTACTACGACATCACAAGGGAATCTTTGGAAAGTTAGCGCAGAGATTGTGAGTGAATGCAGCACAAGTGGCCAAGGAAAAAGCGTTAATACAGCTCCACCTCTGGCACAACTTCTCTACACTGTGACCAATTCCTTTTTCCATACTTGGAATTTAAAATTCTCTACCTAAGGTACGCGGCTGGAGCAGCTGCATCTCTAATGTCTCCTCTGAAGAGAAAGGACAGATGTAGCTGCTGAGCTCTGATAGCACGAGAACATAAACCCTTATAATCTTTAATAGTCCACCATGCTCATTACAAGGATTTCCTGATAAATGAAAAACAATCCAAAGTCAAACACAGTCTCCTATCAGAGTATGTAAGTGATGAATCAAAAGCCAAATCATCAGTCTAATGGCATAAGGCTCCAAAAGGCGACCATTTAAAGGCTAACATCAGACTTCTTCATCTCTGTTGATCATTGTGCTGTTATCTCTCACTGATCCCACTCTGAGTAAGACTGAAGTTTGATGTTAACAGTTAAGCTTTGGAAAAGAACCCTGAGATTACTATGAAGGATTTATTTGAAATATAAAAAGGCACCCGAAGGTCAAACAAATCATTTCAGAAAGGAAGGTTATGGACTAAGTATTTCCCTGCCATCTCTGGTATTAGCGATATGAAGGACAAGAGAAGTCGGGCATTAGGGGTGGGAATCGCATACGATACAATACTATATGATATGATGGGATATAACGTATGTGGCCTGGAACAAAAATAATATGATACATTTATAGATGAATGATCGACAATCATATAATGAACTATCTCATTGACCAAAGAATATGAAATTCCGCTGCTCTTCTTTGGTCATGAATTAGTGAAGCTGTGAGGCAAATTGGGCTTTACTTTTTAAATTCAAAATAAAACATGGCTATTTGGCATCAGCGATTTGATAATTTTATCAAAAAGAATCCGGAAGAAAATATGTCACTGAATGGATATTTTTTTTAACACCTAATAGGTATCTTGAAGAGAATTAGGATCAGCAAAAGGCGGTCGTCGGAAAGATATCTGAAATGGTTTAAAACCTCCAGATCCTCGACAGCCACTTCACTGTCCTCAAAATATAGCAAGGAAAAAGTAGAAACCCAGTCCTCCAACAAGCTGACAAAGACTTTGAAAACTGTTGAACACAAAGAGGAAAAACAAATGAAGGTGTAGGTAATCCTATTGTATTGTTACTTTACCGTTTCCCTGGCATCGACAGCCACTTCATATAAAATGGTCGACTGTGCTTAATTGGCCATTCCCCTCAAGTGAGGGATTCTCTCTCTGGGGAAGAGAGCTCAGGGAACAGAGAGGTGAAATCCACAGAAGGAGAGATGTGCTCTGAATGCAGCACCTCCAACTGAAACGGATTTAGGCTCATCTCGACTTCATGAGTAATGTAAACAAACAAATCTGAGTCGGATTAACGTTGTAGAGACCCCAAACAATGTGCTGTGTGTCTGAAAGCAGGGTGGTTTCACGGAAAGCCGTCGTGCCTGCTGGTGATGTGACTCATCGCAGACTTCCACCGCAAACACGGAGATACTGTAGCTGTAATTCACCAACCTGGCATCTATATATCCCTCTTTGGGTGAAGGAGAGATGGATTGTGCTCCATGGCTATCAGATGACCTTGGGGGACAACTGTTCTGATCACCAAATGCTGTGACTGATATGCCAGTAATCACTAGCTGGCTGAGTGCAGACTTTACTATTTGTTGGTTTTTACAGCAGAGAGAAGCTCTCTGTTCTTTTATGTGAAACAGAAAGAGAAACCTACTGTGCTGTGATCATGCAGAATATCAATTCCTCTGCGGGGTTTTTTTTTTTTTTTTTTCTTTGAATGCGTTTTATTTCCGTGAAATGAAAGAGCAAGTCCCCAGCCCCAACCTGAACTCTACAATGTGCCAGGTAAGAATGAAAGAAAAAAAAGAGTGGAAGAGAAAGAGGCAGCAACAGTTTAGAGGGGGATTTTAGTGTGTGAAAAGCTCCTTTGAAAATGGAGTCCAACACTGAGACATGAAAGCGCTGCGATTTTGCAACAATCTGTGAAGCTCTCTCCAACACCACAGTACAACCGCTGCCTTTCTTTCTAATACACAGCATAAAGCTGCAGCAAAAGGCCTGTGTGGCTGCATCGGCTCCAGCAATGAATACTAACAGCGCTTGAGGAAATGTGTTGTGTAACAAGTCTGTCAAATGGCTAAATGTAAGAGGAGAGAGTGGACTGATATGGTCGTGAGAGGATGTTTTTTAGGTGACAATTACTACCTATCAGGTTAGAGGGAGCTGTACAGATATAGTGAGCTGTCAGATGTGAAGGCTGATGTGTTATTCGCAGAGAGATAATTGTGCAACACGCTATGCAAGATGACAGGGAGCCTTACAACCGTTAAGCAATAATTTACTGGCTCCTTCACTTCCCATCAAGTCTGAAAAATGAATGAAGCTGATCTAAGATGAACTGCCGGCCTGCAGTCCATTACCGTCTGCGGGAGAAGAGGAAGCTATTCAGACTTAATGAGCAAACAGGATATAGAAAAAAAGGAGATAATCTCACCTTTCCTGTGATGGCTGACCAGACTTTCAGCGTGTTGTCGTCAGAGCCGCTGACGATGCGGTTCCCACAGAACTGGAGGCAGGTGATCACGTGGTCGTCGTGACCTTTCAGCACCTTGGGAAGGGGTCAGAGAAAAAGATGCAGTCAGTGCAGACAGTGACATATCTCTAGTGCTTTAAACATCAGATAAATGGATAATGTCATCAAGTGCTGCAGGTGTACGTAGGAGAGTTTCATGCTCTGTTTATGTGGGAGTGGGAGTGGGGGGGGGGTCCTTTGATGGTTAATATTGAGTCGCAGGACTGCTAGCTCAGCAAACGACAGGGCGCACTCTATATGCAAAGAGTAGGAAGAGCTCAGTCACCAAATTTACATCAGTGGAGGCTTAACACGACCTGAGGCTGTTTCAAAAGCACACAAGACCCATTAAGGATCAGCTCCAGCATGCTGGTCATGTTTCATGGAAACTTCCGAACAGGAAAAAGGCACATTGTGTATTTAGATTGAAAGAGAGCAAAACGGTGCTGTTCTGCAGAGCAGTTAGCAATTCACAGAATACCTGCAGAGCACAAACTTTTTCATCAATACCACACCTCAGGTTGTTGTAGTTTGAAAGGTTGAATCATAACATAAACACACAATCTGGACAGCAACAGGAACCTCTGAATTTGGCCAAGTCTTAAGGACATGTTCTGATACACGTACGCACATACACCACCCATCCTGATCCTGATAAAAGACCAGTTGTCCGGCCAAGAAACTTCTAGGAAATGGTCTTTATATAGCACACATGTTGTAATTGCCCAGTGTGATAATTGCCCATAAAAAGGATGATTGGGAAGCTATAAAAGAACTGCTCCGTGAGAAATAAACAGATTCTGATTGTTCAAGAGCATTTACTCTTCTACATAATGGCGCTGCGAGCACACTAGAATGACCGGACGCACACTAGAATGACCGGACACCTGCGGCATCCGGGGCTGGAGTGACACTGCATAGTGGCCAAAACAAAAGGTAGGAGCTTTATCTTACCAAAATGTATATGTGCAGTCTGATTCTATGCCTTGGATGAAGTAATAGGTGTCTAAAAATTATCCAAAAAGAACCTACATTGTATGGTAAAAAATTTGTTAAAGAAAAAAATTTGTTTGAAAATCCTCTGGCGGCTGAATATGTAAACCAAAAATAAAAACGCTGAAGGTTTTTACTATAAATTTGGTTCAAAAGCACTGCACATTTGCATAATAAGTATCAAAGTATCACTGTGAAGTGCTGATTGAACTGTATTGTTTTTGGACTCAAGGTGATTTGATAGCAAATCCATCAGACCTTCCAGCTTGTAGGGCAGCAATTCTTAAACAGGGGTATTGGTTGTTAGGGATTTTAGCAGTTGCCAGGGGGTACAGAGAGAGATTGTGGGGTTAGCTCAACTAATAAGTAAGCAAGCAAGCCCAGAGGTACACAGGTCCACAGGTAGCTTCTAATGACTAAACGCCCAAGGACACTTCAACATGTGCCTGCAGATGCTGGAGATAGAACCCTCAACCTTCCAGTTGAAAGATGTCCGATTACCACTGAGCCACAAGTAATTTAAGTGGCAAGTTCAAGCAGGCCACTAGATAAACCATTTCAATAGTTAAAAGAAATGGATAAATGGTTGAGATGGTAAGCTACATGTAATGGTTAAACAGTTAAGAGAGTTTCCTTAAACTAATGTATAAACAGGTGAGATTGTTAGAACTTCTTAAGTTCTAAGAAAATCTTAAAGCTTTGAATGACAGTTCTTCCATTGTATGAATAATGGATCTAAACAGTATCCACTTCTACAGAACCAGTAGAGTTCAGCATTTAGAACATGAAGGATGTGAATTAACAAGGGAGAACATGAATTTGGCTGACAGAGCTTGCGGGGGAACCTCAGGCCAAAAAGGTCAAAACCAGCGATGAGGGGAATTTGAAGTTTGATCTACCTTGGGTGATTTGAGGTCCCCTCTCCTCCAGTTAGTATCTATTCTGTGCTGCCTGATGTAGGCACTCTTCCATGGGCTGTGAGTGAAGCCAGGCTTGACGATTTTCCTCTTCTTGAGGGGCAGAGGCTCATCGATGCCTGTTCGGAGGGAGACAAGGACAGATTGGACTAACAGGCACATTTTTCCCCTTGAAAAGTCTATTTAAAAAAACAAACGGATAACAGCACATCTTTAAACCCAGCGTTTAGCTCCACACTGCTCCCACTGGGATTTCTCTAGCATTGTGTCTCTCTGTCTGCTTCTGTTGCAAAGACTTCACACTCACCTTCTTCCCTGCATTTCTCCCTCCACAGCAAGTTGTCTTCTGCCAGGATGCGCCAGTAGCGACACGTCTGCGCTGCTTGGAGGAGGTCCTTCGGTTCCAGGAATGACAGCACATACAAAGCCAGCTGTTGACAGAAGGAGACAAGGAATGTGAGAGGTGTAAACGCAAAAGGAGACGTAAAAAAAAGAGCCATTATTCCCTGCAGCAGGTGTACAAAACAGAACAAGCAAGTTATGGGAGAGGACTTTAAGTTAACTAAATAACAACAATGAAAAGAAGCAGCTGAGAAAACAAAATTGGTGAACAAATTATATGCGCAATATTAACAGAGTGGATCTAACTGACAAAGGTAGACAACGTCATTACCAGAATCAACACTTTCATTGAAGCGTCATGAAAAATAAACAATAGGAGCCTCTCATAGAGGGTCATAATACCAGGCCTGTCGTTTGTTAATCCAAAGCCTGAATAATAAAAAAAACATAGAGCCGGCTCCTCTGAATTACAGGGAGAAAAAACACAATAGTTTGCAGTTTTTTTCCCCCCTAAACATATTCAAATACAAAGCTCTAAAAACGCAAAGTGTCTGCTGAGCTGTGAAACAATGATATAATCAGGTCAAGTGATTACTCTGTCATTCAAAAAAAAACACTTCAATGGGTTCATTATGCAGGATGACGTGACACCTGCTGTTCATGTATTGTTTTTTTCATGATCAGAGATGATAATGACCCACAGCACACTGGGACATATTCAGGAGTGGGGTCACAGCCATTAACATGGAGTCAAATGGAAACCAACAGGGTCACTCAAATACCTAGCAGGGGACATTTTGGACTGGTGTCGGCCAGTTTTCCTTTTGCTCTCAAGATACAGTATGTCTAGAATTAATGCAAATCAGATTTGTGTCTCAAAACAAATCTCTTAACATCGACTGTCTAAACTGTTGTTCACAAGTGATTATATGTTGGGTTTTTATGATTGGACATTGCCAACCTTTATTATGGGTTGCTGTGGTGACCATGCTGATGAAACGGCTTTCCACAGCAAGAAGCTCAAGAAATGGAGAGACTTTCTTCTCCCAATGCAACAATGATGCGCTTGAGTTGGTGCAGAAGTGCTTAATTTTAACAGACTAAAACAGCTACGGTTGTTGCTGCTTTACATTTCTCAGGCTAGCCGCTTCTGTCAATCTGTCACGTCCTTGTTCTGAGGCAAAAGGGAATACTCATATGACAATTCAATTTGAGCAGACAAAACTGAGATGAATTGATTGATTGCACGTTGAATTATTTTTTTTAATGATAATTTATGATGTTTTTGATGTCAAAACTTTCTTTGATCAATCTGGAAACATTCTACATTACCAAAAAAAGGATTTTGTGATCGCAGAGTGAAAAAGAAACCTTGCTTCTTGTCTAATCTAAGCTGCAATTAAAGACTAGATTCCTTTTTTTGTTAATCAACAAGTGAATTAAGTTGTTTTATTGATTTTTAAACAGGAACATTCTGACTATTAGTTTGATCTATGTCTATTCTAGTGAAAGCAGTCGCTAGATCTTAAGTTCTTCAAACACTTATGTAGCTCCTGAGCTCCATGGAGATTTCCCCTTGTTTAATATATCCAACTTAATAGAACTCAAATCTTCTTTGACAATGTAAGTACTGAGAATATGGTGGAGGGAAGTTTTCGTACAATTTTGGTTTTAAGGTTCTTTCGAGCCGCTTGCCCCAGACGGGACCCACAAACCTTGACTTGCCTCAATCACCTGAAAGCCTGTCTGAGCCAGAAGTCATTACCAGACGATATTTCTAAAAGCTTTATGAATGGATCTCGAGTCTGTGATTGCTTTTTAAGCTTGACGCAAAGTCTCTTCTGCAGATTCACTTCATACTTTCAATTTCAACTGTATCTTCACTGCGCCACAGGGATTGTCCTGTTTAAATGACTTGACAGCCCCTCCCAATATAAATCCAGCAGCTCTGGTAGAGAGGAGAGGCAGGATTATGAAAAGAAGTCGGAGGGAACAGGATTTTTCTTTTTTAAAGGAGGAGGGCTGATGTCCTGAAAACATATGATGCTTTTGAATATTTGGTTTTGAATCAAGAAGTTCTGAAACCTTGAAGTCTTACATCCTATTGCTCTTTACTGCAGCCTTCATTCCCACTTTTATCCTAACACCTGCTAGCCAGACACAAGGTGTAAAGTATTTGATCAGCTACATCAGATAAGATGGATTGAGGCTGTTTTGTAAGGATCCTCTATGTAATCTTATCATCAGTCTGACACTTCAGTTTGTTTGTATTGTCAGGTATGTAGCAGAGCAAAAACAAGACACTCACTACAGATTCCTCAAAAAGATGTGAAAGAAGACTGTGAGAGGATTAACGCTACAGAGGAAGCCCGTTCATGTTCACAGGGATTTCCCAATGGGATTCCAGGTGAGAAGAAGAACAAGTACCAGAGATGTCGTTGTGAAGTGATAACAGAAAAAAATGTGTGTGTGTGGGGGGGGGGAGAGAGAGAGAGAGAGAGAGAGAGAGAGAGAGAGAGAGAGAGAGAGAGAGAGAGAGAGAGAGAGAGAGAGAGAGAGAGAGAGAGAGAGAAAACTCACCTCTTTGGGCAGCAGGGAGATGAAGTCTCGCTGAAACTGCGGCTCGATCACCTGCATCATATGCTTGACTTGTGTGGGCTCACAGCTGTCAATCAACTCATCCAGCGCCAGCAGCTTCTCAGGCCCAGTCCAGCTCTGGAACACACAGATGAATAAATACTAGTTTAAAAACTCATCTTTATTAGTCATTAAAGTCATCTGCAACAAACTCGAGTACATGTTATCAAAATGTGTAGGTTAACCAGTCAAGTAGAAGGGTTTGGTGGTTCTGCACAAGTGGTTAGAAGAATGGGGAAAAACATGCCGCTAACTAAAAATACCAATCTATACTTTATCACAGATAATCAAGAGGTTTGTATGTGATCTAGGAAGAAATATCTAGCTGTGTTAAGTGACACTACAGTTTTCGGGGGTATACAAAATCATGACAAACACCTTTCTGCTTGAGCGGTTTAATCTGTAACAGATTTAGCACAACAGTAAAGAGCCTCTAGCTCATGAATGAGTACATCCTTCTGGCTTTTATTGCTGCGTGTTTTTTCTGTATTATCTCTGTACTGTCCTTTCCACAGGTTCCTTTTTTCCATGTTGGGTATTACAGGTAGTAATGCACTAGATGAACACTGTCGGCAGAATATTCATTCCACCTCCACATCTGGATGAAATGAAATACATACATAAGAGGTTGTCCAGGCTGATTGTGCCAATTTATTAGTGTCAAACTAGACGCCTTGGTGTGCTGAGCGTGTATAATCTCTTATTTGACTTGGAGTGGAGAGACTTGGAAACATACCGCCTTGTGCAGTGTGTCTGAAACACTTTAATGTTCCCTACGTGACCTCCTCAGCAATACAGAGTAGCTTGAGGCACCTGCCTATTTCTAGCAGCCAGCACATCAGTGGAAAAATTTGAGCATGAGGAACCAGACCCCATTAACAGCATTACAACTCAGAGGAGTTATTTCTTCTTCCTGAACAGTCAGTTGTTTAATGCTGGACGCAGAAAACAACGTTCCTGCATGTTGGACTCAGCAGCAACAGTTGTTTTCCCCCGTAGAGAGCCAAAATCTAACAATGATTACAGGCTACGAGGCAGGATGGAAAATCTGGCACACGCAAACCACCTGTAATTTGCCAGCTAAAAGCTTTAGCCAGAGGTGCCGTTTGGAGGTAATAACGGGTTTCAGAGACCTCCTTTCTACCAATTGGGAGGACCAGGCAACAGCTACTCCTGTGTTACATCAGTTTTATGACGTAGATTATTGGTACTTTTAGTGTGAACATAATCCATTAAATTTACAATTCTTAACCTGAGATGTCACGTATCTATTGAAACTGCTGACAAACTTTCTAGTCTTGTTTTTGCTTAGTATGAATAAATTCACTTGGAATATTTCTTGTTCAATGATGAGCATTTGTATTGTTCTTAATATTTTTTCTCGGAACAGTTGTGAAAGTCTCCAACTTGAAAATGAATATTTTAGAGACATTTTATTGGCCGTAAGAAATTTCTAATTATATTGCGTCTAATCTGAATTTTAATTGTGAGGTGCTCAACGTATTCCAAGAGTTTCATGAAAAAACTGCAGAGATTGATTATTTATTTCCCTAACTCGTCCTCCTACCTAGGCTTAAGTTACTGATTTTTTTTTTTCCTGTCTTTCGTGTAGTTTCTGGCTAAAATCAACGGGGAATTTCTGTGACACAGACCAGGAGATACAGTCTGGCGTCACAGGGCAGATACTTGAAAAAAGGCAGGAAACTCAGGCTGGTACTCTGATATACAAGTGCTACTCCTTTGATCACCTCAGTCTTTATCATTCAAGATGCTGATTAAATACTGCAGCTCAGACAATCTGGGGGAATGTTCAAGTATCTACTGAAAAAATAATTCCTCATTTCACAAAGACTCAATTCTTCAATCTTTAAAAAGAGGCTGCAAGCAAAAACTAGATAACTGATGATCTCTGACACCGCAGAGGCAAGTATTCCATATTTTATGCCATCATTATATACTCTGCATTGATAGTTAACGTTTGGATATAAATGAATATAGGTTATCTTAATGTATTTTAAAAAAACAAGGTATATATTGAGACAGATGTGCCTGTGTGTTGGTTTGTAAGGGGTTTTCTTTTGACATTTTGAAAAATGCACTGTAGGCTTTTTCGGACAAGAAATAGTCTCACATGTTATCTTCCACAAACTCAACAGGTTGTTGACACTCTAAAGGTTTTTAACCAATAAATGACTGAGATATCTTGCGTTAATGAGTGAATGTAGAAGTGCGAATCAGCAGACTTTACAATTGAATGACAGAGCCATACAACCTGTTCCAACTCTTGATGCTAAAATAGGCCAACAGCTCCTGATTATGGTTTTATGTTTTAAAGCGGCGACGTGAGTGGGATTCATGATCTCTTCTGTCAGCATAAGGGAAAAAAAAGTAACATAAAGTATCTCAACATTTCTAACTTATCCTTGACTATAATGTGACTTTGTCAGTTACATTAGTGTCCTTGCGTGTGCTTATTGAGTATAAAATACCCCCAGAAGAAGCTGCATGCTGCTTTGTGGTTGTGTTTGCCTCTACAGTATAATGGGAGTGCAGGCTGGGACTGGACTAGGGAATGTACAGAATGTAAGTTTGAGGTTTAGTTGGGGGGGGGGGGGGACTGCTTTAGGGCAGGCTTAAGGACAATAACGTGTGAAACAAACGGTGAGGGTTCACAGGTTAGCCCTGCTTTTCAAAGATAATGAGCTGAGTCTCTCTTAGATAATGAAATCCTATGGATCATAGAGACCAGAGACCTGTCAAGGCTCATTATGTCAAAATGAAATCCTGTTTCTACTTAGTGTGGAATTGTTAGAGCTCAAGACTAACAAGAAAGAAATAGCTATGGTATATCATGTTGCATCTAGACAAACAATAATTGAACATGATAAATAACCATAAAAACAGGGTGAAATATAACACAGTACTACCTTATATGTTTCTATCAGCATTTTGCTATATAGCGTCTGTACATCCACACAGGTGTTTTTAATTATTCTGGCTGATCAGACCTGGAAAGGTTTGCAAATAGGTGGAGCTGTTGCAATAATCTATCATGTAATAATGTCTAAGCATGAACAGGTATGATAAAGAGGTCATCCTTCTCAAAAGGTTTCTCCAAATTCAACAGCTTAAAGGAGCTGTCAGTCAAAAACTTGGCCACCCCCACATATTCCTGAGAAGTGGTCTAATCATGGCCTCAATCACTAACACCTGTGTAGGTGTAGAGAGGATTTAAAGACATTAGCTATGATTACATGGACACAAATGATCGGAATAAAAGCCTGATCAGAATAAAATAAACTTTAGGTAAACACACCAATTGGAAGAGGCTGATCTGATCTGGCTCATTAGGAAAAAAAATGCCATTCCGAACGAGAGGGGTGGCTTACGCCTTTCGTAGTCAGGATCAATATCCATGTTCACGCTAGATCCGATCGTTTCTTTCTTGTTGGGATAAAACTACACTTACTGCGCATGTCTGCCCCTTTCTTTAACTGCACACGTCTGAATCTCCTGCAGTGATTTATCGACTACGGGGCAACTATGTACTGCTGAGCTTTCCGATTCGTTAGGAAGAGGTTGTTCTATACAGTTAAAAGTACGTGGCAAAAATAATACTAGGCATAAAATATATCCAATTTAACTTTAAAGTATCATAGGAGACAAGCATCTGTTCAACTATTACCACAGACCTGAAGTGTATTACAGACATTTAGTGACTTTGCCTTTAAGTGCGAACAGGTACAGCTTATTCCAATTCCACGCTTCAGTGCCTATGGTAATGCGGTGGGCCTGAACAACAAGGCCCCAATTATCTTGGAGAAGAAGTGAACATTGATTGGGAGCAACATCTGCTTTTTGATGAGCTTTTGCTCAAGGGCTTGGAGATGCCCATGGGGGAGGAGAAGAAGAGAAGAAGAAGAAGAAGAATAAGAAGTAATAAGCCACGCTCACCTGAAATGTTCGGAGCCATTCTTGGAGACCCGTGGGTGGCTGGATTGAGGTGATACGCCGTCTCTGCCCCCCCTGACCGTTGGCTGTTCTAATGTGGCCGAATGTGGTAGGTGTGGCTGGACATGGGACGATTCCTGTCGGGCTGCATTTGACAAGGAAATAATTATTGCTTAAAAACTGCTAACAGAACATCATCTTTACAGGCAAACAGCTTTAAGAAGATCATGGGATCTTGATCTAACAGAAAAAAAGAGAACAATAGTAAGTCAATCGTGAGGGATTTTAGCTATTTTAACCACCAAGAACACATTAAATGACAATAAATGTGGTCTTTAGGTCACCTGAAAATTAAACATTAAAAGCTGCACTTTAAATTAAATGTACTTTTGCCTGCCACTGAACTGATTTAACATAAAATCCCCACTGAAATCAAGTGGATGGGGCTAAGCTGATTCAAATAAAATCAGTGTTTTCTTTGTACATTATGCTTGTTTCCCTTAGTAACACCCTTTCTTTTTGTTACAGACAGTTTATGACCAAGTGAACAGATGTGTTGTTCTTTTATTCACACAGAGGAGAAGTCATATATATATATATATATATATCCCTCAGGTCCAGCAGCAACTGTTATGTTCTTTCATCATAAAAAAACCCTTTTATAGCTAGAAAATGATAGCCCAAAGTAAGCTGCACTGCAAGTAAATACAACATGTTCAGCAAAATAAAGTGTTATATGACCTTGTCAGCCTTCTGTAGTTTCAAACTTGACACTCTACTGTTTGATCAGAGAGGAAGCACATTTGATAGACAGAAAGTGTGTCAAAATCCTCCACACAATCAGCAAACATTTGCTCGTAAGCACTTTCAAGATTTATTCTAAACCCAGAGACTTCAAAGTGCAACACAATCCCACAGATATCTGCTCAAGTCCAGGATCTCCTGCTGCAAGAACCTGGATGTAACAAGCAGGACAGGACTTCAAAGGGTGCCCACGTGCCGTAGTAATGTAAGGGCAGCGGTAGAAGCCATCCAGTGGGCACCTTCAATGCTTCGGATTCTGTGCTCTGGCAGCAAATTGGAAAGCTGAGGGTCCATTTCATTATTGATTTATTTTTAATGGGAGAGGAAGCTGAGAAGGAGCCTGTTACATGGCAACATTTACAGTTAAGTGGCCGTGTTCAGTGTGAATTTTAATGTGGCTACATGTGAACACATGCATTAAATATTTAGACCAAGAGAAACATCTGGGAGTGCTGCTGGCTCTCTCTATGATATGATATGATGTGTTGCATCATTCCGTTTGAAGGCGCAGCGCATCTTTGTTCAACCTTCTTGATATTTTTTTCCATGGTTGCTTTAGCATGTGCACAGCAGTACAATAAGTAGAAATAGATCCTTTAAAATATCTATCTAGATTTCTATGTAGTTTCTTGACTGTGCTGCTGCTGTGACGGTGTTACTTCTTGCACAGGATTAATTAAGCATCTATCTATCTATCTATCTATCTATCTATCTAAACTGTATTGTGTTGACATGTGGGCAGCTTTACCTTGGATACTCTGGGCCTTTGCAGGGCTTTTTTCCTGAAGGGAAAGATCGGACCTCGGGGGCCATGGTCCAACTTCCTCTTCATCTGAGAGTGAAACAATGAGACATAAGAAAATAAATTAGAAACCAACACTGGAGGAGCCTGAAATTAAAAACACAAAATCCTGCAGAATTGTCTGAAAGGCTGTTCTGGCATCTGTTGTATAAACCAATCCTTTTTTTTTCCTTACTGCTAACCAACTTTCTTTTGAGACTAACTTTATTTTTTAAGTAGAAAAGAAGCCAACTCATGAAAAGCAAATTTAAGAAAGGACACGGGTCACCAAAGTTTTTTTTTTTTTTTTTTTTACAGGAGCGGAAGCAGAAAATTGCTTTTGGAAGTTACAGACTTTGTTAACATTGTGTCTGAAATTCTGCATATTAAATACCGACAGCACATTCTTGCAGCGGCTTTATGCAAATAGGAAATTAAACTTTAATGGGCAGGCTGAAAATTCAATTTATGAACACGTTCTATTACAAAGCAGCGAGGTATCTGAAGATAAAGGAGCTCAACATTATGAGATAGTCAGATACAAAGCAGGTGCTTGTTAAACAAGGCTGTGCTTTGTTTTGATTATTGTCTATGTTGGAGACACATGACAAGTGCACACTGATCCTGAGGCAACCAGACGCTGCTATAATATCCAGAGGCAATCATGCATTCACACCCAAAACTCCAGGAGCAGCGCAGCGTGTTCATGCACACATAATAACCACAAAGTGTTCAGGGAGGGTACGCAGTGCATTCTTTGGCATTGAAGTTGGATTCACACTGATACTCGAGAAAGAAAAAACAGAGTGAGTCGGTTCTTTATCTGTCTCTCCATCACCTGCGTGTGCACGTAACACCCGAGTCCCTGTTACCACCTACCCTACCGCGCAAACAAAGGAGCCTGTGTAGCGGCCTGGGCAAGCCAATTTTCTTCATCCCCTGCCTGCCACTCTCTCTATCAAGGCCTCGCTGCACACATGCAAGCCATCACATTTATTTAGTGTCCAACCAAAATCAAATAAACAATTTGAAAGTGGGGCCTTGTTTCTTGATTAATTTTGTATGTTCCGTGTTTAGGTGAAAGCTGAACAGGATTCGATCACAGTCCTACAGTATCACGTAAGGCTTTTGTTTCTTTCTGGGTTTCATGCAACAAGCACTAACAAGGGTATATATTTTTAGACCAAATAAATAAACATAAGCTTGCATCTGGATGATTCATTTCTGTTCAGTAAATTATGAAAAGTTACTTTGAATTTGGTTACAAAAGGATTTGTAAACACTTTTTGTTTGAAGGGTGGTTTCTGAGCAAAGTTCTCCTTGACTAAATGAAGGGACTAAAGAAGGAGAATATAATATAATGGACGTACTGTAAAGCTCGTCTTAGCCTACAGCAGGAGTCCAGCTGATTGTTCTGCTAAAACACAGCCTGCAGTGCCGAATTGGTTGCAGATCTTCCATTTTTATCTCCTGCTGTTGACTTAACTTTAATTGGCTTGTTTGAACCAGAAACCACATCCAAAATTTCACTTTCTCCTTTGCTTTGAGACAAACAATGCCTTTTAGATACACTTGGTTTGTTACTATAGAATTGGATGCTCACACAGCGCAGGCACACACAGCAGAGTTGATGTTTGACTCCAAACTGTCTGCCGTCACAGTGGCATGATTACATGTCTGTCCACGAGATATGTTCCCTTTGTTTACCACTATAATTTAGTTGAGTGTGAGTATGTGTTTGCGTGTTCTGTCCTCGCAGCGCTTTGCAGCCTGAGGTGCACATTTCAGAAAACGACACGCTACAGTTTATATCAAACAATGATTAACTAACAGAAAACAATCAAGAAATGCTGAATGACGAGAGGATATCAAGGCCAATTCTCTAGTCATTAAAAAGAGATTATTAAATCAATTCACCACAGTATCAACCATCAGCCTGCATTTACAGAGACATGTATACATGATTAGCACACCAACATGTGCTGCAGGTTTAGGTGCCCCCTGGACTTCAATCTTTAGTCCGACATATGATTTGTGATCTTTTCCTCAGAAGTCAGCTCCTGTGTCAAGCTGCAGAGAGGATCATGGGAAAAGCCATAAAAATCTACAAGGATTCATGATGGAAATGTAAAGAAAAGGCACTTGGAGATTGAATCTAAGTGGCAAAAAGCATTAACCGTTTTCAGAAACTACATCGATTGCACTTGTTGGATTGGTCGAACGGTTTATAAAGGTATGCCTGCTTGTAGAAATCCCGCTCTTAAAACCGAACTGCCTTGTTCTTAAAGCGGTGATCTCACTGCAATGGCAGTTCAGTAGCAAAGGAGAGCCGGGGTGTGTGTGTATGCATGCGTTGGGTGTGTGTGTTTGAGAAGAAAAGGGGGAGTGCTGGCTTGGCTTTGAGTGTGTGCCCCTCTGTGTGCACATGTAAGAAAAAACCTCAAACTAAATGCGGGCGTGAAAAACAAAACACAGCGTGTAACCAGCGTCGTCTTGTGTTTTAGCCTGGGAAAAGGTAACCAGAGAACGCAGTGTTTGTAAATCACTGCTAATCAGTCCTCCCTCCCCTCGCCTCCCCTCCTTCCTCTTGGCTTCCCCCCCCCCACTCTTTCCGTCCAAAAACACGACAGATGGATACACAGAGAGTTAATGATATTTTAAAGACAGCAATCGCTCTTACATAATGTGTTGATTCATTCCAACACAGACTACATCCTGCAGCATCAGTCACATAAAAGATCCTTCCTCATAAATCAAACACTGTTCTCAAGCAGCCATGAGAGAGTTACTTCACGTCAATCAGCACCGCAGGAGACGCAGGAGACACACAAGAGTTAGAGAATTGATAAGGACGAGAATTGAAATGAAACCAGAAAATGTGTCTGTAAAAAAGGATCAGTCTTAGTGTCAGTTTTTGTCAGGCATGAAAATATTTAAGCTCCAGGCTTTGACTTCAAAATCTCAAAATGGATGGAGAATACAAATGAGTCACCGCTCAAGTCAATAAACGATCGCCCATTGATTAAGAATGACACTTTCACTCAATCTCAAGGATTCATTGGGTAAAACCTACAACCCCACACAAACAAAGTGCACACAGTTGCACAAAAACAAACCTAAATGCAAGTAGGGTTTGAAATGATTAACACATTTGTTTACATTTCACTCTCCCTCTCTCTGCGTTGTTTGTACTCAGCATCTCCAGCTTAGGCAGCATCGTTATATGGCTGCCATCCAGCATGATAGACCCGACATCCTTGAGGATATTTCTACCTCACGCAGTCTGACACAGTGACCCATTATCTGCGGATGGAGCCCGAGGCGAGCGCACAATGTCAGGGGATAGGCGACTCCAGCAGGCAGCAGCAGGCTGATCACATGCATGCATCTCCGGCAGTCACTTTGGTCAGTGCGAGATTAACCACTGCTGCATGATGTAGAAGCATAATAACCCTGCAAACTGGGGAGGGTTGCATGAGTAAACTGGATGGTTTTGCTCTTGTAAGTGACAGTTATTTATCCAAGTGAAAGTGTGTGTTAAACATGGGAGGGATGATAGCAGCGGTGCACATGCATATGGGGTGTATATTATGGAGCATTATGTGGAAGGGAGGACCATGGTTGATGCACAGGTGCGGAGAGCATCGAGCAAACGCCGAGGGAATACAGAAAAGGAAATTCAATGCGTGAGAAAAATGCATGTTATATGCATCCAGCGATGCACAATTAAGTGCCCACATATACAGATAGAGCTACAGCAGAGACCCAAATATAAACACAACCCTAAGCCCTGGATGTGGTGCGTTTATTTACAAATCTTAAGTTACTATGAAGGGGGGGGGGGGGGGGAAGCCAAATCGTTTCGTGATTTTCCAACGTGTAAGGCAGCGCCAACACAACATATAGGCCCCTGCAATTAACGCGGCGTCTCTGGGGGTTCTGCTACGCCGCTGTTCATCCCTCCGCAGTGGCCGCACAATCTGCCGCGAGAGGCGCGTCAGAGATAATGAGGGCGACGGAGCGAGTCAAACATGACATAAGACGACATGAGGACTGCGTCTTGCATCTCGATTAGAATCATACTCACTTTATAGAAAATCATCTTTAAAGTGCCGTAGAACCCCATCCTTGTAACCCGGTGTGTTTCCCCTTTTCTCCCTCTTCAGTGACAATCGGTGAAGTCCAAATGTGTGCGCGCGGCGAAGAGATGGCTCTGACGGCGTGAGGGCAGCGTACTCTCAGGTAAATCCGTCTCTAATGTGAACATGCTCGGACACGTCACCGGACTGGCGTGCATGCAGTAGATCCTCCAGGTAAATACATTAAATTAAAGTGGGGTGGAGAGAGGGGGGAAAAAAAAGAAAAAAAGAAAGAAAAAAAAAAAAGGTTCCGTAGTGTCACGCCGATCGGTGGGGTGAACAATGCGATGCGACGATCCTGGAGGCGTGTGCGCCGCCGACCAGCCTCACCGAGCAGAGGGAGTGAGCAGATGAGAGAGGAAGAGGGTGACACTCGGCAGAAAGGGGAGGAGGAGAAGAAGAAGAAGAGGAGGAGGAGAGGAGGAGGAGAGCGTCAGAGCGCTGAGCAGTGCCCTCTCCCTCTTCACAGGCTCCTCCAAAAAGGATCGGATTACAGCCTCCCCGGTGGAGACAGAAGGAATGGTGCAGTCTGACGTTCAGCACCGTATACGCAGAGCATCCTCTGAGAGCGCGAGACCAGGGACATGTGCGGAGCAGCAGAGACCGCGTGGGGTACGCGTTTGTCCTCTTGCATGAAAAAAGGTGAACGTCCACTTGTTGCAGAACCGAAACACCCCACCCATCCTTGCATCCTATTTGCTTCACTCTCTAGTCACCTCGGTATGGCATGCTTTCTGGTAAAAAAAAAAAAAATCCTTTGCATCTGTATTGCGCATATTTGCCTCCGTGAAAAGCCCATACGCAGTGATGGAAAAATAAAAACACACATCTAGTCCAGTAATTCTCTGAGTGTAATTTGAAAGTATTGCTCAGAAACTGGGTAAATTTGCATTTGCTAGTGTACACTTGCAGCAGAGGGGGAGTTACTCATTTGTATTTAAGACTTAACATACAAAAATATATCCGTTTAGAAAACAGTCAATTATCTGAATTATCAATGAGTTTGCAAGAAGTCATGAACGAGGCAAATTATTTTCAAGTTTTGCTACAGATTGCTTTAAATTGCCTGTTTAGTCTGGCCATCTGTCCAAGGATCCAAATGATTTGGTAAGTGATTATGTAAGCCAGAGGAGAGCCGTGCATCTTTATAAATGAGAAGCAGGTACAGGAGAGTGATTAATCTTTCAGCCACTTATCAAGCAAAGAATATAATCTATTTAAATAATTCTTGCATTGAATTTCACTGCAGAATCTGCCATTTTTATTTTTTTTATATAAAAACACAATTTTAAAGGTTTTACTAGTTTTTAAATGTAAATCAGTTCAATTCAGCAACGATAACAAAAATGCTGTCATGTTTATGTCTCTGTTATAATGATCCAAGTGTGTAATATTATAAACCTAGCAGGGCCAGCCTGCAAGATTATTTTTTACTTATTTCTATTGAAAGTACATTACTGCATCTGCGTGCTTCATTCAAGGCTTAACATCCCAGCTAAAAGATGACATGAATGACAACAGTCCACCGTTCTACTCTATCAGGCAGCAGTGTGTGAATGGGTCCATCAGCTGCACCTGCTTATTTGCACACAGGGAACAGGCCAATATTTGCATTTCAGTATGGCAGGTAATGGGGGTGATTGCAGCTGCCAGTTTACAGAGAAATGTGCTTTTGATGACTTCTGCTTTTTCAGCTTTTAAAAATGTTAACCCCCAAGATGGTAGCTTTACCTTAAAACACATGAAGGCTTACTGTCACAGTTGTGGCACAAAGCACATTTATCTTGTTTAGCCATGCGGGATAAATACAGCCAGAGCTTTTTGTTTGATTAATTTGGACAAATTGAGAACAGAGAATTTTAAACCAACTCAGGCCAACTCTTTCACATCACTGTCCTGCTAGGAAATTAAGTGAAACCATTCAACTGACCACTTTGTTGGAGTTTAGATTTAATTTTGAACATGCTATAACTTTATTTTCTCACGCAATCATTTATCATCTAATCCAGTTGATGTTAGTCTGGAACACAGCGTTAGTTTTAAAAGAGATCTTTAACATTCGCTCAACCTCACAAGACATCAGCATTACATCATGGAAACTGGGGACACAATGAAGGGTCGTGGGAAGCTATTTACAGGTAATGGAGCGTCAGGAACTGGCAGCTTTCCAGACACTCCCAACTTACACCTGTAATTACTAAGTGACCTGACACAGGGAGGGATGTAGGGCTTTTTTTTCTGAAAAGAAAAAGCTTGGCAAGGAATTTTGGTTGAAAAAATATCAGCCACAATTGAGGATTGTTGAGTTATGTTAGAGAACACAAGAAATGTGCAACAACATGCGTCTTAAGCCCAATGCCAATGAAACACCTTTAGCTAGCACATGTATAAGGAAAGAGAAAGAGGGAGGGACATGTGGAAGAGTAACTTCTTCTTGAGGTGAAAATGACGATGACTCATGCAATTTGGGCTGATTTTTTCTGATTCTTAAGAATAATATGTTACAAACAAACAGTACTGTGTTAAACATGAACAACCGAGCATCTCTTCTTTATGGCTAACACAGTATGCATGCTTTAATATAATTGTCACTGGTAATATTGTCATTGCAATATTCCAATATAGCTGCCAATCTCATATTTTCCTCAAATTGTGCTCCTACTCTTAAAGTGAATGAAGTCCAGTCCTTTACTGTAACAAAACACCAAGTTTTAATGAACACATCTTGTTGATTAATGTATGACAAATATCATGATCAATTTCCAAAAGTAGATGGGTGTAAAAGGCTAATGGTTGCAATTTTAGTCGCACATTCTCTCCATTAAAAAAAAAAAAATCCACACGTCCTTTGCTTTCAACAGTTGGATGTGTGGGTGCATCAGACAGAGCAGGCCGATCTTTGTCTGTGTGTGTTTAAGGTGGCCCTCATGAGAAAGGCCCTCGCCTCGCACTCGGCCGGCTCAACCTTTACACAGCACATTGGAATGCTTGGCATGCGAGAGGAGCTGCACTGTGGCCTTTGAATAGGCCGTGGCCTCCTTTGTCATTTTCCTCCTGCCGGTTGGTAAAGCATTAACAGACCCCCCCCCCCCCCCCCTCCCCCCTTCTTCTGATGCTGACCTCCCAGTTATCCAAAAAAAACAAAAAAACCTACTGGTCAGACAAATTTTTCCCTCAGTTTTACACATTCTGTTTGTTTTTTCAGCAATAACAAACTCTCAGGTAACTCTGCTCCATATGACACCAGCCGCTCCTTTGCTGCCATATTTGAACGGCAGAGGAAGTACGAAAATACACTCATTACATCTCAGAGCAGCAGATAGCTGGCGGGGAAAAGCAAATGCTGTCTTCTTAAACTTTGCACAAATAAAAGATAACATCAATGCCAAGGATTCAGCATACTGACTCAAGAGATTCACTATACCAGGCTGCAGACAAGTTTAGCATCCTGCATGTGTGACGATACAAGATGTAACGCATGGATTAGGGCATGTTGGCAACACAACTTCCTTACTTTCCTTGACAGTTTATTTGCCCCTGTTTTGATTAATAAACCTTTTATTCAATGAATAAATGCCAAACTAAAGTTAATCTTTTTATTGGTAAGTGCATGTCCACCCAATCAAATATGCTTTTAAAAGCAAGGACATTCTCAAATTTTGGGGGAAAACGTTGACTATTGTGATTTGATAGAAGTCTTCTTATTATTCTTCAATATTTTAGAGCTGAAATGGAAGGAATATACACAAGGACAATGACAGGTCTTCTCTAATATGATGAATAGAAGTTTGGCCTTCTATTACAGTCTTTTGAATACCTTTTTGGTACCGTTTTGGACTGTTTGTTGGTAAACAAAGAAAGCTCATTATGTCAACCTTGGCTGCTAAAACTTGAAAAGGTTTTTTTTTTAGGTTTAAAGGCCATACAGTAACCAAGAAACTGCTCAGGACATTAAACAATTTCGAAAAAAATTATCAGTCCTAAATTGATGATCTGAAAAGTTAGGCTACAAAAGATCTATGCTCGAACACCTGTTTAGTAAGAATGGGGAAATGTGCGTATCTTAATCTACAGATATTGGATGGAAAAAAGCAAACCTAGGAGCAAAGAAGCTTTCATGAGCAAATGTTTTATATGAGGTGGTGAACTTGAAAGAGACAAATACTTCCTGGGCAGTGATGCATCACTAAACGGGACCATGTCATTGTGTGATTGTCCACTCTGTGGCAAAAAAAAAAATGAAGACTGGGGGGGGTATCCTCTGAATAGATTTTTCTCCCTGACATGGTGAAGTGTGAGCCTCATTTTAGGCCCGACAGATGCAATGCGTGTGGGGGAGGTTTGATGAATAAGGAAACCATGGATCATGGCATTCTGCAAAGGACAATAATAGCATCATCTGCATGGAATCGCATTAACATATCCTACAGCCACCCACGCGACTGAAACATTCAAGTTTGAAGAGGTCAGGTCAAAAAAGAAATTAAAGCAAGAGCCTGTGCTATCTCCTCTGTGACATGAATGCAGTTCATGGAAAATAAATGAAGAAAAAGAGGTCCTTATTTGCAATTATTGGCAATTATTTAGGCAATGGAGGTTGAAGCAGATGCAGCATTTTGAGGTGTATACAAGCGGAGACACCTTGAGAAACAATTAATGGCCAATAGTATTGGCAATGAAAAATGATCAGATGTATAAAAGCTTTTATATTAAGGAGAATATCAAATTCAAGGAGCTAAGGTCCAGTCTTGTTGCCACCCACACAAGAATAAAATGGCAAATGGTTATTAAGTAAAGGTTGCTTAAAATGCAATAATAAAAGTAAAGCTGATATTTCTCTTTCAGCACTCTGTGGAATCTAAATGGGCAATAAACTAGCTTAAGAAATACATTAAATAGCATTTATGCAACAATACAACAATAAAAGTCAATTTCTTTCTGTTATTTTTGCATGAAGAATAAGCAGAAGGCAGTAAAGAAACACGAC